CACTTGCAGAATTCACTTAGAGTGGGTATTGACGTTTTGAATTGTTAAGCAGGGATGCGACCATACTCCCCTTCCCTGACATGCCTTTTTAATGGATATGGGTCGACGCCCCACTTTAGGGCAGAAAACCTCACGCTATACTTTTTCTTCAATGCAGTGCTCACGTGTCACCTCCCTGCTGGCCAATCGGAGGCCAGTGAAAGAGCAGCTACCATCTCACACACGCACACACCCATTAATCAATAGGAGCCTTAAGACCTGCTCACACGCATGCAAATAAAAGCATTTTAAGTGCTATTTCTTGACGGTAGGACATTTGGGCAATGCTGCTATTTGAAGGTGAACCGATCCTCTTCATCCTCTTTGCCCTCTTCATCCTCTCCTTCCTCATTGGAGGATGTATGTGGGGTTCTGGCGAAGAGGCGAACGATCGAACCAAACACATTGTGGGGATCATTATTTTCTTCTTTGGAGTCACCTGCTGCGTTCTTTTCTTCATTCTCTTTATCTACAAGAAGATTCGTCAAAGGCGGCGAGAGAAGAAGGATTTTGAGGAGTTAATGAGAATGCAAAATGAATTTGCCGCGAATGAAGGATTTCAAGACGATGAGATTTCACTACGACGTTGATGGAGGATCAAATTGCTTTTCCATGGTACAAGTATTTTCGTTTGGTAAAGTTGAGAGATATTGCTTAAATACTGTGTTTAGTTTTTTTCAAAAAGACTTTATTTCTACAAAGTTTTGGACAGTTTAACGTCCGTCTCACAACCTTTTTGATAAGCTCATCGCTGGTTTGCTTACTGGCGGTCCCTTCGGTGCTCCAAATAAGTCAATGCGCATGTTCGGTGACTTATTTGCTTTAATGCTATTGAATTCAGCAAAGGAAAGAAAGTTTACTTTATGTTGTTGCAAAAGAAAATGATTGCGACTTCTAAGTAAGCAGTTTTGTTGGATTCGGAGGTGGGACGGAGACAAGAAGGTGGTTAAATTTTATGATTTGCTGCATCTTCCATTTGGCTGACTCCACTTTATATTATTTGTGCCGTAGCTCCTTTGATCTCAAAAGGATAAATTCTTTGTACGTCTCAGTAAAAGCGGTCTGAGGCGGAGAGCCACCTGTGCCGAATTGTCTATCGCGCTTTTACGAGTCATGATAACTCTTCTAGCTCTACCTTTAAACGTTTTTTTCTTGCTTAATTACGGACGAACGAACAGAGACTCTTTATTAGTGAGAAGGAGATGCACTCCTTTGTGTTTCGACCGCCTCCTCTCAAGGATCGACAATTTCCCATAGCAATTCAACATGGTTAACTCAGTATTTCAATATTTATTTTAAGTGTTTTAAGCCCATTTGATAAGAATTTAGACAAATTTGAAATTTGCAGCGTTTTGCATTTTATGATAAGTGAGCCGGAACTAGTCTGATGTGCTTACCATCTGCCAAAACTGTAATTTTGTGTTTTACTTCTCCCGCATATGCTGTAAACGTTGGCCTTGG